TCGGTGCGATGGTTGATGTGGTCGTGAATGGGTTATCGTTCAGCCAGGAGTGTTTTGACTCGCGACCGTGATGCATACCATTGCCGTACCCTACTGTGCTTTTAATAGTGTCGATTGTTTTGGAATTCGATATGAATCCACTACCGGCATTATAATATGGTGAGGGAGTGGTAGCTGAAAATATTTTTAAGACATACATTCATGCGTTTAGAATGAGATTAGAAGGTATGATGACGTAATTTTTGATTACGTATTATGTTAGTACAAGGATAACAGGTTATACACATTAAAGTACACTAGAATACATACTCGTAGTTGAAGTGGTAGTAGGTGCAGCAACGGTGGTGGTGACGACATTCAGTATCTGATCGCTTGTACTCTTGGCCATAGAGACTGCTGTGGCTGCGACGCTCGTAGCGGCAGTGGTAGCCGCGCCAAATACTTTACCAGAATGTCTCAAGGTATGTTTCCGGATGACTTCTAATTCAAAAAAAAGTTATATTATGAGAAAAACGCAAACCTTGTAATTAGAGAAAAAATTTAAATGAAAAATCTCCTTACTTCCAAGTATGCCTTCACCAGGGATACCCTGAGGATTCTTTACATGGTAATCGGTAATCTCTTTCAGAGATTCCAGCACCAGAGTGCGAATCCAAACACAAATGTTGGTAGCGACAACGTGCATGAGGCCGAATCGAGCGATTACTTTGAACCGATGGATGTTCAACTAGGGAAAAGTAACATGATTGAAATACAAAATATTAAACTTATTGGAATTAAATCTATTTGAATTAAAACTTACTCTCGAATTCATAAAAATAAAATACATTTGCATAAATGTAAAGACCATCTGCAGCACTGGGTTGACACCTTTGAGAATGAGATAACAAGGTGAATCTAAAGGCAACTCAAAGAATGTTCCGAATTCCAATCCATTGTAGATCATGGTGCCCAGGCCAAATGCTGTAAAATTAAAAACATGATTTAAAAGATTTTTTTGTTATAAAATCAATTTGTGCTTAATTTTTGACATTAAGGTGGAAATTAGTCAAAAATGAGTGTAATACCAATTGCGCCAATTCTAAGGAAGAAGCTTCCGTGGCTATGGTCGTTCTGCGAAGTCTTTCGCCGGCGCATTGGTCTTGCAACAGGACCGGCTTCCAACTCCACGACATCTTGTTGCTAAACAGAAGATAAAAAAATATTGAAATCAATAAGTTTGAAATTACGGAATACTATTTTTCGTACTGTAGGAGACTGTAATTAGTAAGGCTTTTTTACAATAATATAAGTATGTCAGTTTAATTTGAATGTCGATGGTGGTAGCAAAATTTTTGGTGTCAAGGTAGGTCTTGGTTAAAATTAAACGAAACTCTTCAAACTACTTAAGCAGTCTTCGGTCATAGGTTGAAGAAGCAAAGGGGATAGCGGACACAACACAAGCACAATAATCTGCAACTAAATAAAACAGCACATCCAAAGCTCGGTAACGGTATGGTATAGTTTAAGCAGGCTGCGTCATTTGATAATGCCTCACCTGATCGGACGCATACAACTGAGCCATTTGCATTTGTAATTGTTGTTGTCGTACTTTATCGCGCATCTTACGTGGATACACCTCCTGCCCAAATGATATGGAAAAACAAAAAAAATAGCCAGCGTAAACAGAAAAGGGGATCATGCGGCCAGTCACGTCCTAACGAAGCGCTTAATATGACTTTTGTGAAAAGCTAAACATAATAATAGCGCTAAACTTTGAAAACTCTGCTTTTGTGACAGATCAAATCTTGAGTGGTTAACTAACACAACATTAAAACGATGGGAAGCGACATATAAGGTTAAACGAAAAAGTTGGATGTGCTGGTGATATGCTATTGTAAAACAAAAAAAAACTATTACTAACCTGGAATTGACTTTGCTTCTTGCTCTCTTTAGTCGCCTTCTCCTTTCCGGCATCCTTGTCCTTGTCCTTGGATTTCCCTTCCTTCTTGCAATCTTTTTTACCGTCTTTTCCATCCTTGCCTTCCTTTCCTTCTTTATCTTTGGTCTTCTTTTCCTTTTCTTTCTTGGGTTTCTTTTCTTTCGGCGGTGGCTTCGGTTTTGGCGGGCTACCGTTGCAGCAAGCACTTTCTATTTCGAAAAAAAATGTGGTCACATTATTTGATCATTTATTTTTTAATATTAAATTAATAAGTACGTACCCTGAAGTAGGAAACAGAAGACGTAGAGCAGGAACAGTATGCTCATTCCATACAAATAGGTGAAGAAACCCTCGTAGTAATAGAGCGGGAGGTTGTGGGTGATGACATCGCTGATCACGTACGCGATGCAAACCACTACCAGTAGTTTAGCGTAAATAAAACTTGAGATGATGAATAGTGAGGTTCTGAAATCAAGAAGAAATTACAGTTTTTATAACAAAGAACTGTACGAGTACTAGTTAAAAGATATTTTAATTTTTTATATGGGTTTCGTACGAGTCGACCTCTGTGAGCTTATTGCCAAATTAGGTCATGCTCTAATAAATAAAAGCGCGCACTTGCATTTGATAAAAAAAATGTTTTCTAAGTTACGTAATGTACGGAGGTGTTTTGATGACAAAGAAAAGTATTCTATTTGTGGAAAAAATAACGATTAAAAACGTATTAAAAATCCCTTTTTAAATAAGTAAAAATTGAATATAATTTAATTTTAAGTTACCCTAAAACGTAACACAAATCGCACACAGAACGGAAAAAAACATTTTAAAGTGAAAAAACGAAACAAACTACGGTTTTTCCAGGTAGTTACGGAAGACTACTTTTTTTTTTAAT